TTTTGATGCTTGAGCCGCTGGGCTCCCCAGCCGCTCAAGCATGCTGGAGCCGGCATGTGCTCCCTTTTCCGATGACCCTTCGGGGTTATTCGGTTTCCTCCGATGACCTTCCGGGGTCTGTCGGTTTCTGGGTCCCATTCCGGTGACCCTTTTGGTTTTTTTCTGTTTTTCTTGTTGTTTGTTTTCTTTATGTTGCTTGTATAGTTGCTTGTATAGTTGATTTGTTTCAGATCTGGCGACCCTCGGCTTTCCTGTAGATATAGGGAGGTGCTCGCTGTTTTCCAGTTCGGGTCACCGTCGGACTGGATCTCTGCCGCGGCGTCCTGGAGATCTTGCGCCATCCTCTCCGGAGTAGTTTGAAGGGTGTCCCATGGCTGGATCGGTCGACCTCAGGTTGCTCGAGTGATTTCACCTCTCTTCCTCCCATGCATCGGGCCTACTCTGCTTTACTTCTCCAGTTTGTTCTTATCTGTATTTGTTACCCTTATCCTTTTGGATAAGGACTGGTTGTAGATGCCGTATGGCAGTTCCTTAATGCAGTGCTAATACCTTTTTCTCAAAAAAAAAATTATAAATTAGAACTGAAACGCGTTCTGATGATTAAATTTCTACTTTTTATGTATATAATATATGGTGGTGGTTGTTGCAATCCAAGGTGGTTTCACTCGCATCAAAAGGAAAATGAAAGTATACTTCACCACCGCTGTTGGTTAGTCTATTTGAATCAAGGGTGTTATATGTTAAAACTTATATTTTATTATTTAAATTATATAATAAAAATATAATTTATCTTATAAATTAATAAAAATAATTTTATTGAAAATAATTTAATGAATTTATAAAATAAATTATATTTTTAATATGTAATTTACATTAAAAAATATTTTTTGTACTTTTATTATATAATTATAATTAAATATAAATATAAAAAAATCTTAACTTTTTTTCACCCTCGAAAGAAAAAATTGGACATCTCATCCCATCGACGTTTTTTAATTTATGTTGCTGCTGCTTTTGTAAACAAGCATGCCCCATCACCACTTGCCTTATTACCTCAATAATTCACGTTTTTCATCCTCGAAGAAAAAAATGGACGTCTTATCCCATCAACATTTTGCAGTTTTTGTAAACAAGCATCCCCCACCACCACCCCTTACTTTTTTTTTTTTTAATAATTTTGATATTATTACATGTATATATATAAAAAAAAATTAAGTTTCGTAAAGTTTAAACACGCCACTCATTAATAATGAATAATTTTAACTCAAAAATCCAATACCACTTAATTAAAACAAGTCATTCCCACCGCCCCTTACCTTATTGCCTCAATAATTAACCTTTTTCATCCTCCAAAGAAAAAATAGACATCTCATCCCATCAACGTGCTTTAAATTTCTGTTGCAACAGCTTTTGTAAACAAGCATGGCCCGCCACCGCATGGCCCGCGACCACATGCCTTATCGCCTCAATAATTCACCTCCCCTTGCTATCAAGTATCAACCTCTTCTATTTGCTCGCACATGGTCTAATAAGTCAATAGTCTATAAACTTTAGTAAAAAAATATTTTTTTAAATTTTTGATAAATTTATTATTTTATAATTTAAATTATATTAAATTATAAAATTAAAATTTTAAATAAAAAACTTAATATTAAAAATTTAAAATACTCACTTTAAATTTAAACATTATTATTTTATAATTCAATATAATTTAAATTATAAAAATATTTTTTTTTTTATTTTTAATATTAAATTTAAATCTCTTTCTCACAAATTTATACTTATTTTTAAAAAAAATCTTCTAATTGCACTTTCTTCTCTTTTGTTTTTTTTTTCTCCCTTTTTACTGCGTCATAGCCGGCATCATTTCATTTGTCGAATTTGATTTCCTCTAAATTATATATATTTTTGTATTGGGTAATAATAAGAGACAATTTTTTTTATTAAATTATATTATATTATATTTATATATTATATAATTAAAATTTAAGATTTTTTTAGTAAAAATATTGTTATCGAATTATTTAAAATTTTAAATCATTGATCTTTAAATTATATTAATTTAATTTAATTAATATTGATGTCCACTAAAAATAAAACTTTAAAATAAAAGTATCTTTTAATGCATGTTGTTTTTTTATAACTTAATTATTAAAATTATCAAAAAACCGTTAATAAATAAAATTATTAAATATATTGATAATTTTAATGTTTAAATTATGTAAAAAAAATATAATTTATATTAGAAAACACATTTATGAAACTTAAAAATGGCAAGTCCGTTTACTTTTTCCCCCTACTGACGGGCATAAAATATTTTTCCGGTATCTCTAATTACTGCCACCCCCACCCCCCGGGGTGCCATTTTTATTTTTATTTTTTTAGCTGTAGAAATAACATACTCAGGTGCCATTTTAATTAGGTTGATGATTTTATATGGCAAAAGAAATTTTTTGGTTAGAATGGGAGACTCATGGCATTTGCGGACTTTATTTACTTTGTGTTTGGTTAAAATGAATTTCGCGTTGAATTGATTTCTGAATCTATACTATTGTGTTTTAGGTTGATTTAAAACATTTCATTTTAATTTCGTGGTTTCAATTCCATAGCCCTATGTTATGTTTGATTAAAAATTTGTGAAATTGATTTGTAATTCTACACTTCTTATGTTTGGTTTAATTAAAGACTAAGAATTAAATTTCAAACTTCTAAATCATAGAATTAATTTAATTTAAATTCCATTCATTTTTACAGTAATCGAAAATGAACTCTATACTTTTAACAGTCTATCACTTTTCTTCACAGATAATAAGAGGAATATTTAGAAAAAAAATTTAACATTTAACTCAACCTAATATTTACAAAGGAATACACAACAATGATCATGTTCTATATATGAGAAAGAACTGGAGGAAGAGACAGGTACTGATGTTTTATAATTCATCAATTAACTAGTACAGTATATGTTTGCAACTTTGCATCTCTTCACACCTATACATATCAGGTGCCCTGAAGATTCATATGAAAAGATTCACCTAATGGTTTTTGGGCCTTGTACACATTCCCGTCTCTAGCATAGAGTAGTTAATGGTTATTGGGCCTACTACAGTCTTTCCTACATGACTTGAGACTTGAGGGAGGGAGCTGAAATGGTTGTGGATTAGATAGTGATTACTTTACAAGTTTTAAGACTAGATTTGACATTGATAAAAGGGAAAATCATAATGTATTGATATTAAAATTTTTATAATATTTATTAATAATTATATAATAAATTTAATAAAATTATAAATTATATTATTTTTTAAATATTTAATAATTATGATTAGATATTTATTTTTTTTCTTTTTACCATTTCTCAATTCAATTCTAATGTATCTCTTTAACATTTTTTGAGAGGCAAATTTTTGGCTTCTCTACACGTTAGAAAAAAAAGGCAGGAACGGAAACGGTGAATGCTAAAAAAACAAATGGCGTCGTGATAAAGGAGAAGAAGACGAGATACTTCCAGATCTAAAGTGCCAAAAAGGACCAAATGAAGAACGGAAAAGACAGCAACGAGGGGTTGGATCAAGTGGCAATTGGCTTGTTCTAGCTTAAGAAAGGTTTCGAGTTCGAGACCTTATATACGCAGCAGCCTTCGTTGGGAGAGCCGCCCATTATTCTGGTGCGCCACAGCTGGTCGAGTCCGGAGTAGTCAGGGCAAAGCACCGGATACCGGCGGAAAACCAAAAAAAAGGAACGGAAAAGACAGATCTAAACGCAGAACCTCGAAAAACGCAAAACCACTGGACATGCAGCAAGGGAACACCCTGCAAGCTCAAGAGAACGAAGAAACTTTGGTTGGACGGTTGAAGGAGGAGGAAACAGCAACAACTTAACATCAGCTCATCGTATAGAGAACCCCTTATTTGACTTTAAAGCCCATGAAATCCAAACTTGTTTAAAGGCAGAATACCCAAATCCACCCCCCAAGTATAGTGGCAGGGACGGATTCACCCTCGAACAAAAAACAGGGACAAAGCCACCTACAAAGTTTTCGATTTGGACAAATCATCTCAAATTTAACGTGTGACGTCATTTGACATCAGCAATATGTTAATTTGACGTCATCTGACGTCAGCAATCCGTTAACGAATTAACAAATAGCTGATGTCAAATGACGTCACACGTTAAATTTGGGGTGATTTGTCTAAATCGAAAACTTTGTGGATGGATTTGTCCCCGTTTTTTGTTTGAAGGTGGATCTGTCCCTGTCACTATACTTTGGGGGTGGATTTGGGTATTTTGCCCTTGTTTAAATTGCCCAACGCAGTCCTGTAGTTGGGAAAAAATCATTAAGATCCCAAAAACTTTGAATAAAATAAAAACAACAAAAATCAATTTTTTTTTTTTACACTATATAGCAGAGGATAATCCTTTTTTTCTCAAACACTTGCTCGTTCATCTTAAAATTCAAGTTGAAAATTTTTAATACAAAAATTTAAATTTTTAATCATTAAATTATTTTCTCAAATACAATATTATTCCTTTATGAACAGACATTAGTACCAAGGGTATATTGTTTTATCGTCTGTATAAAATAAGAATAAAATAGGAACCATCAATGATGACCCCTAGTATTAGCGACAGGAGAGAACCCAATATTAGAAGCCCTACCCCGTCAAACAATTAGTGTATTATAATTTAATTAAAAAAATTCAAACCGTAAAATATTTTATTATGATTGTTATAACTATTATTTTGAACAAATACAGTTTTTGTACAGAGGGCACTGATACCAATAAGAGGGACCTATACTTTTGTTAAAATTATTTAATTTAATTTAATTTAATTATTAAAAAAATTAATAATTAATAATAATTATTTAATAAATTAAAATTAATTTATAAATTAATATTTTAAATTAGCATAATAATTAATCATTATAAAAAATAATATTTTTAGTTATTATAATTAATTAATTAATTATTATAAAAAATAAAATAAAATATCAATAAAATTAAACAATTTTTTGATGCGCTCTTTGGAGAAGGACTGGGAGAATGTCTAAGAGCAGCAGAAAGTTCGATCTCACCAAAATCAATGCCCCAATTGCAAAAGAAGCAATTGATGAGGAATTTAATGTGAAAAATCAAAGCCCTATACGCGAAAAAAGAAAGCTTTAAGATAGATGGAGGAGGAAGGTAGAAGGTTGAAGAGAGGGTAGGAGACGAGTGCGGTGAAGCCAAGGGCTAATGAGGAGGAGAACAAGAGAGGAAGTCAATCTTTAGTTCACAATTTGAGCTCCAATAATGGCGGGGGCATAAACCAAGGCAAGGCTCAAATGGGTGAAGAACAAGAGCCCAGACCACATGATCGATACTCAGACCGATCTGAACGCAGCTTGCCTTCTCAAGGATGGTTTCAAGCCCTCGCCTACCGACTTCCTCACCGCAAAGTCTTCTGCGAATTGGCAAAACGCTTCTAGGCTTCACAGTAGCTGTTCTTGGCTTTCTCCGCAGGTACCAAGCTCTATTTCACTAATTTGTGGTCCCTTTTGCGTGGTTCTTGCTTTGTTTTTGGATAGGAAATTGAATGAAATATAGTGAATTTGAGAGTTTGACAATGTAGGATTTTTCTCTTCCTTTTCTATGATTAGTAATTGCTGGTATGCTTAGTTTAGTTCATGAAAATTATGTTGCAGTGAGAATTTGTAGAGACTAAAGATGTTAATCTGGTGAAAATTTGTGATTCATGTGTGAAAAAGATCTCATTTTCTTGAATTCTCAATTGCCCCCTTTGCAAAACGCCTTGTTTTAATTTAGCTAGTGTTGCAATAAAGATGTAGGATTGTTACGATTGTGGAGTTTTCAACCTTTTAGTGTAGATGCCCTACTCTTTTCGAAGAATTCCCACACGTACGGTATTCTAATTTGCCCTGTTTTCGATCTATGTATACGCCAATCTCATATGAATGATACTACTGTAGAGTGTTGAGAGACTTTGTAGAGTGCTTATCATGATGACAAGTAGGACCTTTGCTTTGCTTAATTCTCTATATATTAAAGATTAGATTTTTGTTATTTTCCCCCTTTGGATTGATTTTGATTGTTTGAACATCTTGAGTGACGGGTACTCCTAGCAATATAAGAAACAGTTAGATTTACGTATGTTGTGTTCATGATAAGTTTGGTTCATGAAGTTACTTGCAAACTGTTTAATTCTAAACTGTCTGCTCCACCCCATCAGAGATATTATTGCATTTCTTAGATATTTCTCCAAAGTTTTTGGGCCTCTTGACAGAGTAATTTTCAACAGCTTGTGTCTACTCATCCCTTGCAAAGGTGGATGTAGGTCTCGGGTTGGAATAGCATGGGAGGATAATGGATCCATCCCTCAACAAATGAATCCTTATTTATGAATTGCACTTAAGATCTTATTGGCCCTCTAGATTACATATCTTGCATGGGAGAATTTCTTTGCATTTATGTCTTAACAAACGATGCATATCCTGCGTCTGCATCACAAATGAAAGAGAATGATGGTCTTGATACTAGTGAAATGCAATCCTTATGAACTACAATGTCATGTTCAGTGCATACATAAGGAATGCTGTACTTCCCATTGGGTTCTTTATCAACATGGATATCAAGCTCTATATAAAAGGAAAACAAACAAGGTTACTTAAGGTCTAAATTCCTATTCTACTGTGATATTCCAGAGGGTGTTGGATATATCTGTAAATTCATAAAGATTGCAGTATTACGTGAATGGATAGATGTAATAGGTTTAGAGTGGTCATATGCTAATTATAGATCAGGCTTGCTCCCTAAACATTGCATCAATTGTGCTGGGCAGGCCTGTACTGTATTTGACTGAAAACTTTGTGATATTCCCAGAGGGGGTTGGATATATCTGTAAATCCATAAACATTGACTCGTTTACTCATTTGATATTATTATTTTTTTTCTAATTTGTTGATCTTCCACAGTTTCTTCCTTTCCATCTTTTGAGTCTTTTACTTGTGTGTCGTTCTGGAATACAGGCAAATACACATGTCAATGTTCAACAAGATCTAAAAGATGTCAAGATCTGGCTAACTCTAATTTCTATGTTGTCGGTGTCTATGTTTATTATTGTTATTAAAAGTAGTAAATAATTTAGTATTCCTTAATTTTGCATTAGGTGCACACTTTCTTGAAAGGATTGGAAAAAATAGCTGCCAGTGCAGACATTCCAATGTTGGTATGTGGCGATTTCAATTCTGTTCCTGGAAGGTATGTACATGATGTTACATTTTATGGATATTAAAGTCCACTTCACTTTGTATTAGGCTTTCGTATCATTAAAGTTTTGTTCACTTCTGTGTGGTGCTTCGCATGCACTTCTTGCCATGGGAAAGATAGATCCAATGCATCCAGATTTAGTGGTAGATCCTCTTGGAATTTTACGTCCTCATAGCAAGTTGGCATATCAGCTCCCACTGGTAATGTTGCTTACCTTATTAGATGTTTCTCCAAAGTTTTTAGGTTAACATCTGCTACTTCTTTTTAAAGGGATTCTGCCTCTTGTGTCTTGACAAAGTAATTTTCAATAGGTTAGTGCCTCCTCATCCCTTGCAAGGGTGGGTGTAGGTCTGTGTTTGGAACAGAAAAGGAGGAGAATGGATCCCTCAACAAATGAACCCTTATTCATGGATTGCACTAGAGATTTTATTGGAACTCTAGATTACTTATTTTGCACAGGTGAATTTCTTTGCATTTGAGTCTTAACAAACAATGTACATCCAGCCTCTTGTGGTTGCTGCTCCCTTTCTGTTGTTCATACTTATATAGAGAATTGTCTATGCTTTCAGCTGGTTCTTTGGCGGTGGAGTCCTTATTGGAACTCTTGGATGAGGATGGCTTGAGGAAAGACATAGCTCTTCCTTCTCCAGAGTGGTCCTCAGATCATATATCTCTTTTAACCGAATTTCACTACATGCCTAGGCTTAGACGCTGACACTTTAGGTGTGCTTTTAACTGAGTTAATGCATGCTATTTTATTGAAAGCTGTAGGATAAGAAGTTTTTGTATGTGTTTGAGATAGAATATCATGGCTATTTCTCAGGTTGACTGACTATTACTTGTGGTTGTCAAATGCCTGGAGGTTTAAGTTTCACCTTGTTGGCTTAAATAATAGATAATTGTTCTGGTCTCTCTAGTCATTAATGTATCTGGTTACTGGTTTCAGGTCTGGAGATGCCCTAGAAATGGGGGAAGGAGAAGCTGATGATACAGATATGTTATTGCAAAAAGGGAAAATGATTCACCCTATGTTCTTACTTGAAGGATTAATGATAGGACCTTGCAATGATCTGCTTTGCATAATGGCGCCTTTGTTTCACAAGAAAATCGTGGTCGTGCCCTTTTTCAACACCTTTTCCCCTTGCCTACTGAAATGTCTAGTGGCTCAATATAATTAGTTCTCTCTGCAAAGTATATGGTTAGTGGCATTGCAATTGATTGCATGTCCCTTTCTTCCATCTTGGTCCTATGTTTCTTCCCCTTTTTCTTAATTGAGGAATAAAAATCAAGTTCATATTCGTACTTTCTTCTTTCTCTCTCTGTTTTTTTTTTTTTTCCCTGTTCCTTATTAATGATCACAACATTCCAACTTCCAAGCAGTTAACTAGCAGTGAAAGAACACCCCTAATTCCAAGTAGTTAAACTAGCAGTGAAAGGAGAAAAGAAGGGTATGTTGTGTGGAAGTATGGTGGGAGTGAAGAACGGCGTGTTGTGTGGAAGTATGGTGGGGTTCTTCTAACATTTTTCACCATTTATATATGTAAAATTAGAAAAAAAAACCTCAAGAAAATGGAGGAAGGAAGGCTGTTCTTCTTAAGTCATAGAATTATGATAAATTCATTTATGTTCCTTACCAATACCATAATTAAAAATATATTATTGAAAATGCATATTAATATTTACTTCAAACACATGAAAAAAAAAAAAAAGAAAAAAAAAAAACAGCAATCAATGCTTGGTTATTGTATCACAAACTCGTATTCAACAAACAACATTTTCAATTTGTGGTACAATGCAACTCAAAAGAAAAAGAAACTAAAAAACAAATGAAGAACATGAATCATGGACATTTTGGTTACCTGCAGATGTGTTCTTCTAACATTCTTATATCCCCTTACTGCGCCAAATACGTAATCTACATTCCCAGTCAATAACATACTTGCATCCTGGTTGTGTACATTCGAGGAATACCTCTTTACAATACTTGTCACAAACACTACATTTAAGATAATCATGGTAATAATCCTTCTTCCCAAGAGTGAGAGGGTGCTCATGAAATTCATACTCGTAAGTCAATCCGAGCTTCATGAATGGGTACTTGCTAAGAACACATAAGAAATGAGCAGCATAATCACAGATTCCACAATAATAAAACCTCTCATTTGGATCTCTTGATTCTTCACATATATCACAGACACATTGATCCAAATGAGGATGAATATCATCGCGGTAAGTGAGTACCAAAGGATGTTCATCATTCTTGCACCAGGCTGTATTTGGCAGCGTAAGACGTGTATAATCCAAGGTGAAATGATCACATTCCTTGAGTCTGCATACAAAGGCCCCTTTTTTCTGATGACCATCATCACAAATATTGCATTTGAAAGTAAATCTGTGATCAAAGAAGACCCAGTGCCTATGTCCTTTAGTGGTAAGGCTGTCGGGGATTACAAAACATGAAATGCAGCAAAGCGACACAACTGCATCTTTTTCGTAGCTTAACCCACTGCAGTGAAAACAACAGAAGTAACATTGGAACCATGTGTAAGGCTTAAGGGTAAAAGTCTCCTTGAAAGCCCAATGCCGTGTCTTTCTTGGTAACTCAGCACATCGCTTGTGAAGGATGTAATTGCATTCAACACAATAGTAAAATGAAGTTGAGATGGA